ATGGTTTTGGACAATCGAGAAGTACTGGTGTTCTGCACATTAGGCATAATACCCGAGGTAGAAATAACATGTCCAAGAAACTCGACCTCCACTACAGTGAATTGGCATTTGCTGGTATTCAGGCGGACATTTAGTCCATTCAGTCTATGCAGCACATTATGAAGGTTTTCCTGATGTTCGGTGGGGTTACTATCAAAGACAAAAATATCATGCGTATACACAACACAACCTATGAGATCTGGTAACGATAGAGTAATAAATTTCTGCCAAGCAGCTGGGGCACTACTAAGGCCCATCGGTAGCACTTGGTATTCATACAAACCGTCTTGAGTGAGGAAAGCAGTCAAAGGTCAGCAATCTGGAGTCAGTGGCTTGGGGTAGTATGCACTGCGAATATCCAGCTTTGAGCAAAGTTTGGCGTTTTATAGCTTAATCATCAACTCGGTGATAGAAGGCAGAGGGAACTTGTCCACAATTATATGTCGATTAAGCTCTCGAGAGGCGGTGTATACAAGAATAGAGCCATGTTTCTTTTGAACGGCAACTGGTGGATGAACCCATTCAGAACCTTGTATGGGTTCTATCAAGTCTTCTGCGACCATATTATTGAAAGCTTGCGACAACACTTCTCGCTTGGCCGGAGGTACAGGCCTAGGATGAGAAATCCTGAACGGTTTGTAATCGGCGCTTAACCGAATGTGGTGCACTGCTTTTGGGACTCGAGCAATATCCGGAAGAAACAGATTTGGATAACTCGAACGTAACGAATGAAGGTTGACACCGGCAATGGTCATCCGGCTGACGCATAGTGATACGTTCAATAAGATCATGGCATTACGTCCCAATAGTGGTTTAATATCTGTTTTAGAAACGTAAACTTAAACTATACGCTTCCTGCTGTTTATAAGAAATATTGAAACCGTAACAAAACCGAGTATGTGGACATCACCATTGGAGTAGCTGCTGAAAGTGTAAGCAGAAGGATGTACAGTTAGCTGACCAAAATGCTGTTTGTAAAAACAATATGGTACAACTGTGATTGGTGACGCGGAATCTAGTTCCATGTCTGGACAAATGGTTTCGTTTCTAACTTCAAAAAACATGACGAATAGCTGACGAAGGCAGTTTGAGTTCTTGAGTTGGAGACGAAAATGGATGTTCGCATTCATTAACGACATATATAGATTGTTCAGTGGTAACCGGAGAAGCTCTAGGGTAATTTATAAAATCAACTAAAGAGATGGCGCAGGAACGACAAACTCGAGCAAAATGACCGGTCTTGTTGCAATTCCATCAGATTTCACTTTTTGTAGGACGACCTATCATTTGCACGATGTTCAGTATTTCCACAAAGGTAACACTTATTTTTAACTAAGGATCGCTTCAGATAGTGAGTAGAATCCAAATGGTCAATTTCAGTAGCTCATGTGTTAGAGAGGAAAAAGTTGTTTTGTTCCATGACTGCGCACCACATCTTCACATTGCGTCAAGTGTTGGAGCACCGCCATGTTTATTGGCGACCCACCGTTGTCGTGTTTCTTGACATAAAAGGTGCCTTCGACTCAGTCGATCGATGTGCCCTTTGGGACTGTCTGCTGAGGAAAGGTGTGCCTGATAAATATGTAAACATTATCAAAGCGCCGTACGCGCATAGTTCGGGCAGGGTGAGGGTTTATGGCAAACTCTCGCCACCCTTCAGTATCATCAGCGGTGTGAGACAAGGATGCCCGCTGTCACCTTCCCTCTTCAACTTCGCTATTGAGGAAGTCATGGAAACAGCGTTCGCTGGACACAACCTAGAAGGTGTAGAGCTACTTCCTGGTGAGCGACTTCTTGAGTTGAAGTATTCGGACGATATTGCCCTAATCTGTGACAGCCCCCAAACATGCCAGACAGCACTGGACCGATTAGCACTGGCTGTCAATTGTTTTGGGCTATGCTTCTCTCCATCGAAATGCAAAGTACTTCTCCAACATTGGCAGGGACCCAACCCTGCGCTAACGCTTGGTGGTGATCTGCTAGAAGTCGTTCAGGAATTCAAGTACCTGGGCAGCTATATTAGCACCCGTGGGATTGAAGATGAGGTTACGAACCGCATAGCAAAAGCTCGAGGTGCTTTTGCCAATCTCCGCCGCCTGTGGCGTAGACGCGACATTACTCTCGCCCTGAAGGGCAGAGTTTATAACGCAGTCGTCCGTTCAACTCTCATATACGGCTGTGGAACCTGGCCCATCAGATCGACAGACATGGAGAGGCTCGTCACATTCGATCATCGCTGCCTTCGCAGCTTAGCTCATGTCTGGTGTGAACACCGCGTGAGCAATGAGCGTGTTCGACGTCGCGTATTTGGTGCAGGAAGAGCGAGTGAACCGCTCAGCACCATTATATCACGCACCAGGCTCCGATGGCTGGGCCACGTTTTGCGCATGCCAGCACACCGACTCCCGCGACGTACATTGTTTGCGCGTTGTGGGTGCGGTTGGAAGAGGAGGAGGGGAGGCCAAGTGATGACTTGGTCGAGAGAAATGAAAACCCTCACTTCTAAGGTGGCGTCGGTTGATGCATCCCGACTGCCTGGCTGGGGTCCTAAGGACGATGAACACGTTTGGTTGGACACACTTGCTGATATGGCTCGGAGCCGGTACCAATGGCGTTTGTGTTGTGATTTCCTTTGTCCATCCCCCTCCAATCACAATCTCACTTGTTAGGCATAATACAAGTCTCCTTTACGGCAGCCAGCTGTCAGCTCTCCGGAACGATGTCCATCCGTTACTGGGGACTCAGCGGGCGTGCCACTGTTTTCCTTTTCTTGTCTTTTGTATTGCGGCACAATAGCTGAGGTGTTTTCCACCTCCAGCTAACGTGTAATGATGATGATGATGATGATCCATGACTGCGACCTTCGCGCGAGCCACGTCAGAGGCCCTATCCCATGTGAGTTTTTCTGCATTCTCCATTAGGAGAAAATCTCCGATCCGAGAATCCGTGAAATCAATTGTTGTATTAGCATAGTTTCTTCCACTTTTTTCTTCGGAATGATATTGTAGTTACACTTTCGAACAGAACAAACAAGACGGGAAATCAATGCATCCACTGATTCACCAGATGCTTGTTTCAGCTGCGAAAAATTGTACCGAGCAGTACAGGTGTTTACTCCAACACCTCAATGTTTATCGAGGGGCGATAAGACTCCTGTCAATGTGGGTTTCTCCCGAGGTGCAAGCGCAAAAGCTTTGAAGTATCCTCCGTTTTCAGCTTCACGGATGGATTGAGAACTGGTAGCACAGAAATATAATCTGAAAAACTAATTTTCCAGTCTTTCCAGCATACTGCATTTGGAGTAACCACAGTAGCATGCAAAGACATCGGTAACACGCGACGCCAATTCGTTGTATCCCGAAAAAGCAGCAGAACAGAGCAGCAGCGGAACGTATGTATGGAGAACACTGCCCACACACACGCGCAGTACAATTAAATCGAGAGAGGGTCGAATTGCAACCAATCAAATGCAAGACCACATGATTGGCCAACGAGTGCTAAATAGAAGTGTGAGTAGGATAAACGAATCGAGGGCAAAAACAAGGCGAAGTATTTGAACACGACACTCACAAACTCTAGGACAGTGTAAAATCCAAATACCGAAAGATCTATAAGGTGTGGAAAGGGACGCTTCGTCAGATGAACAATTTACACCAGGAGAGAGCTAAATCTGTCCAGAATAGAGAAGATGGTCAGTTGTGAAGTGGAAGTTCACCGGGATCCTTCTGGATTATTTGTGTTACACTCAGACAAATGCTGAGGATAGTTAAATCGGCAGTTACAGGCGAACGACGCGCTCTCTAATTACACATGTCATTACCGTATCCGTACTGTCTTAGGTGTGCACTCAATGGGACAGAAAACAACAATCAACAATGAATTTACCCGAGTTATGAAGCACTGCTTTACTAGTCCCAATTGGTGGTCGTCTGGCGGAATTATCGAAAAATGTTAAGAAAAAAGCAGTTAATGAGTATACCATCAAAAGCACTTATCGTTTGTTCTGCTGTAGTCTTGCACCCCGCGTAGTTTCATTGCAGCAACAATTGACAGCTAATAAATGCGGTAGCATATGCCAGCAGTTGAACATTGGCACAATGCTAAGTAACAAAATATGAATGGTTCAATGTACCACCCATCCGTCTTTTAGATTTGGCTAGTGATAGTGGGGAAACGGCCGATTCGGAGAGAGCATTGCACGAGTGAAATACGCGAATAGGAAGATAGGTTAAATGTAGCTAGTCCAAGAATCCTGTAAAATTCAAAGATTTTAAACCCAGGGAAATAGTACACATCAACATGTAGAATATCCAGAGTACATGGGAATGGATTCTTTCACTCAACATTCTAATGCTCCCGATGATCAAGCATCGTGGCCCAATATACGTTCATGCTTTTCGACCTGTGACGTGGATGCGGATGGTAGGTTTTCTGTGTTGCTGAAGCTGAGGTCCACTGCAGCCATGGGAACCAGGGGAGTTGTAGGAAAAAAGAATGGGGAAATGGTGATATTGGGTGGAGCTTGTTTTCCATTATCCGTCCTGTTGTAGGCAGCAGATAAGGCGACTTATCACAAACTTAATGTGACGCAGCATAGCAACCCGAGCTGCTAAAAGAAAGGAGTCATTTGTTCGCCTTAGTTTGACTTGTTAAAGACACTATGTTTCCAAATCTATCTAGATAATTAACATAAATAAAGTAGAATAACTGCTTCCTCAGCGCAAGCATTTAAGCAGCAACGGCGTTGCGAAGGTTGAATGTTGATTCTGCTAACAAAAGTGCGCAAACATCCTAGCAGATGAGAACAAACACACTTAAGGAACCAAGAATACGAGTGACTTGAGGGAAGAAAGCATTACTATAACCAACAACAAGAAGAAAAGAATTAGTAGCAAAAGACGATGGGTTATTCCAAAAATCAGATGAAGGCAGACTGAATAAAAGCATAAAGGGGAGGATATCTACTCATGAGGAATAGACGCCTCACTAAAGACTCGCGAGTCAGTGCAACGACTGCGACCCACGAAAGTAAAAGTCATCGAGCACGGAGTACCACAAGATGACCATCGTGAATAAACATAGATAAAAGCAAAGCACCTCACTTTGTACTGAGAAGGAAGGAAGAGAACTCCGAGTTCATAGGACCGTATCATCAACTGAGTGCGATCTTTTTCATACGCACCCCAAGCAGCCTTGGATAGATTAGCACTGTGTGGAGAGAATAAAGTAAGACTCTGAAAGGTGCTTTAGATATGATTGGCATAGTACTCGGTGCTGTTGTAAGAATCAAAAAATCGGCGGTAACCTAGTGGTAGCCACTCATATGTGGTAACGCGAAAACAAAGCTCACGCCTACCGAAGGAATGATAGAATGTTATCAGTGAGACTACAGAAAAGTCTACCAGAACTAATTTAGTCCTTGCTTCCGGAAACGTGTGTTCCACCAAGCGCATTTACGTTAAGAAATAAAAATATGAAAACGTATGCTCGTCACACCCAACAATGGAGATTCGAACGCGATCGCACCTTATCATGGGTAGAAAAATTACTGACCCAGTGACGAGTATCGTGCGTTTAACCAACGATGGATTATGACTTTATTCCGTTCTTGGTAGAAGGTGCGATCGGACCACCATGATAATCAATATGCCCACGATAAAACGCGGCCATCAATAAGATTTCGTTAGACAACTGATGCAACCCAGTGCCGGCTAAGCACAGTTTATGATTGCCCGGTGCACGTAGACAAGCCGAGTGTAAGCACTTTTAAGTATCCCACAATCACATGACAATCGGTAAATTAGGAAACTGAAATGTCGTTGGCTGCGCGAGGGCTGGCGTTATAGAGCCAATTTTCAGTGATGTAACCGTATTTCTCTTCAAAAACGGACACACAAATGTTTATGTCCGAATATTAGAGATTTCATGGTTTAAAATGTTTCAAGTGCATATAAACGTACATCCACCAGTGGACTCGAAGGAGACTACGTAAATCGTACCTGGTCAAAAGGAACCACGCAGCATGTAACCCATCGGGAGAAATACGCGCAAATGTCTTGATGTGTGGAATAGCTCGGGTGTGACCACTGGCCCGCCAACGATGCAGAAAATGTCGAAGCCACAATTGTTTTGCTGCCGTATGCTTGCTGTACGGGAGGCAGCCACCAGCTGCGTAGCCTTCTAGACTGTCACGAACGTCATTCACACAAGGATAGATCTGCATCAGAGTGAGCAAAGTAAGTTACGAACGGAGTAAATGAGTACACAGAGGTTACAAGCGAGGAGCACACTCTGGATAATGTTGACTGGCAACAGGAATCCCAGGGTTTGGAAGAACAGAGACAAATCCACCGAAGTCCATAGATGGTTGACCCTCTGAAAGTCCTCAGAGCGTCGCCAAAACACGAATGCACCGCCACCAACGATGACAAAAACTACCAAGTAAACTGAGTGACCATTTTGTGAGGCAGCTCAGTCATGACTGGAACCTGCGGTGTGTCGGCCCAGTCCTGCAACACCGCTCTATGCAAGTCTGAACAAGGTGTCGAGATGTGCAGTGACCTATTAGGCAACGCAGAAGCTCACCTACAGGGGAGGAGTCTGATTCAAAACGAGCTAAATCGTTTGTATGACAGCTAGGTGCATGGCAGAAATTTCACTCCAGAAGACAAAATCACATAACAAGGGTCAGATTGATGAGGACAGCAAATTATCCGCCAACAGTGTAACTTGCTAAATACGGTGAATAGTCCGAGAACGTAACCGAATGGTTAAAAAAGCGTCATAGTGTTGTAACGCTGCCCTGACTACTCTCGGACTGGGACGCCGCCAAAGCAGCCGATGGGAAAAACGGAGTACGAGATCTGCTAGACCGGAGTATATTGGTGACAGGGCATGGCTAAATTTGTAGATGACGTGTGTGCACCAACTGTGCGCCGCTGGGCTGATTGGCCTCACGTGACTAGGCACACCAAAATGTGCTGCCTCCACCGACCGGCTGAAGTCACGTGCTCAGATCTGCGCCGTAGCAAACCGTGCCACAATGATGGATTGGCTCCGACCGCTACATTGGATGGCGTGCTAACCGCTGTCGTCGGTCGCGAACTGGGTCAGCCAGCATTCCGCTTTCAGCTTACCCCAGTTACGTCCCGAGACCATGTCGCGGCGTTCGTCCGTTGCAGCAGCCTAATACACAGAAATACCTAACGTAATGGCTGACGGCGAGCTCGGTTCTCTTTACCTATAAGTAGAGTAACCATGCCAAATGAAGCGACAGAGAGAGAGAAAAAGAAGTGAGGGTGCGAAGCAGATTGATGCGAATGATGGTCTACATTGAGTTCGTACGCCGTAATTCACTAACACAAAGCGAGGTTCAAAACGACGCTCTTCCGTAATCAGAGGTTGCGAATAATGCTTTAAACGCAGAATATAAACTGGTATTTGTGATTGGATGTGGCCGATGGTGTAGGTCATGTCTCCGTTGACTGAACACCTCAATCAATTAGTACGCCCCATACTACGGTTGTAAAGTATAGATGAGTGGAACCAAAGCATGAATGAAGCTATGGTTGAGTAACACGACAATAGAGATAATAACTTGAGTAGAACATTACAAACAAAGCACTTACCAGCCGGATTCCTCGAGCGCCGCGGCCCGCTAGGCTAGTGGACCACTCTGTTGTGAGCCAGTTCGTGGGTTGACTGCCCAAGGAGCCTATGCTTGAAAACTGACCGATGATGGGCCAAGAGGACGGTGTCTCTCCAGAGTTTCTGCGAAGCACCTGTATTTAACCGAAAAGCATCAAGAACACAATAGAGGTAAAACACTGTTCTCACTCCATGAGCAATACATGTCGTCCCTCAAGTAGATGCTGTGAGAGCAAGTGGCGGAAGGGAAAGCTGCACACGTTTACCAAAATGCCGAAAATGATGGCTAGGAGAAGTCGTTTCGTTGAGACCATCCAGTGGTGCAATAGCTGTGCTGAATGAAAATGCGGATGGATCAATATATATATATATATATATATATATATATATATATATATATATATATATCATGCTGATGCATCAGTGGTGATGGGATCCAATCATCTGTGTGTTTCAAGAAACTCTTGGTATCTAACGTGGGTGTCTATTGCATTTGAACTGCTTGCGTTAGTTAGGTCAAGTCAAGGCATGTTTGTCGACCAACTTCTTCGACATGTACTGTATGCACGAGAACGCGAGGTGGCCATAAATCGTTGACGCGGCCGTAAGACTTCGTCTTGCTGCCACTTGCTGTCTTCGTGAATGGGGACCTTGGGATAGACCACATGGTTACGTGGAGAAATGTAGGACACGGGACAGTCGCGCATTAGGTGGCGCTCTAGCTTTTGTTTTTGTATCTTTCTGTAAATATTTCATCCTGCATAATTTTACTCTTCTTCTCTAAACCTCTTCCTTTAACAAACTGTTTATGTGCCATCTCATTTTCTCACCACAGTTAATTATTGTTGATCTGGTGGCGTGAGTACTGGTGATCGCATCCACAGTACTACGGTGCCCGAAGGTCAGGAAGAATGTCAGTGGTCAGATGACTTGACAAGGCTTAGAATAATGTTGAAAACATTAGTGGTATTATTCAGTCGTGAAACGTACTAGACGGTAATCCGCTCGCGTCGTATCGAGAAAAGGAGGATAATATGAAGTACAGTAAGCGGTATCTTGTACCGACAATAGCTGCAGCAACAACAGACAAGTATAAGATGTGATGTTGTTGACTGTCACCAGGTGGTCTAACACATAGTATACAGTGAGGAGATTAGTCGTAAACAGATAGAATGGTCAGCTTGTTCGTAGCTAGATAGACCGTACGAATCCCGTTTCAGTTCACAGTCTACTTGACACACAACCACAAGGTAGTGGTTCCGGTGGTCTCCAGGTGACACCCGTAACAGAGAGATGTTGAAGTTACATGGTGCTTTCAAAAGTGAAGTATGCACTCAAACAAGTGTTTCGTAAGCGTCTTAAGCACCGCGTGAGGTAACACTGCATTGGTATTTTTAAGATAATCCAGTACAATGACGACTGAAGCGGATTATTCCAGCAGACCATGTTAGCTTAAGATAGCAGTATAGAAATTCAGTCTTCAATGGAGCAGCTGATCGTCACTAGAATACTACAAATCCAAGTTAAAACCGGAAAGTCTCGATCGCAGTGCCCCCCCCCCCAAATTTGCGTCCAAGATATAGTGACCAACGAACTGGTGGAGATAGATTAGAGAAAGGGGAGTGACGATCTTGCGTAACAAATGAGCAGGGGATGAAGAAATGGGCCATCATTCACAAGCCACTCAGGGTTCCGATCCAGAATGGCAACAATGAAAGGCCGTTCGCACAGAAATGCGCAGTGTTCCGTGGATGAAATCGATGAAAACAGTGTGGAAATGTTTGCTAGCGAGAGAACGAATCGAAGATTAATCCAAAAAGAATACGTTTTGATTGGTGGGCTATTTTTGAGTACACGTTGTGCGATTGGATCGCGACGCACAACCACAAGGGGGGCCGTGATTCGCAATGAAGTGAACCTTGGTCAATTCGATCACCAGGACCATAGCTGAAGTAAATAGAAATTTGGTGTTACCCGCCTGAATACATTCTAGAGAATCGGTTGTTAATCAGATAGCAGTAAGTCAGGTCGCTTAATTAAACTGATGCAATCACTGGTGGGCCAGAATAACGAGTGTCTGAGATGAAACCTGGGAGAATGAGTACACAAACGCAAAGCCGAGGCAGAATCGATTAGAAAGACCAACAATTAATAGATCAGACAATAATGTTTCGGATCCCAATAAACAGGGCAGTATTTACTGCATCGCCAAATCTTATGGCAATACCAGTATACACAAAAACGGTTTCTGATCAATCTTACAACCCACCAAATAGAACGAAGCAGCCGACTCTATCAAATATGAAACTGACTCGTGAGATTTTGAGGACAGAAAAGATTGCGAGAAGCATGAAATAGTAAACAACTTACCTCTCCTAGTTTAACATGACCAAATTGTTTCAGATTAGAACCAGTATGTCGCCCAGATACGGAACCAATTAGAAAAACCCTGTTAAGAGTGAATGAAGGCACAGGGTGTATGAGAAGTAAGATTCCTTAGGAGGATATTATTCAGCAACGTGAATAAATGAAAATGACCATTAAAAGGTGCGGGCTACGACCGTACCAGGAGTCCTTAAGAGTGAAAAAATACCAGAAAATTAGTGTGAATCCGAGGGAAAGTGGTGCACCTGGCACCGGCAACAACAACAACAACAGTAGCAGTAACAAGCTTGTCAGCAAGGGAAATGCGAGCGCGTTCGGAAAACCAAAACATGTAGTTGCATAACACCATTCCAAACCCAGTTGGATACCAGGTGAGAAAGTGAAAGTGGAATAAGACACGCACAAGACACGAGGCACGGTGCCGCGGCCCGGAATACAGTGATCCAATGAGGCATACCTGTGCACCGTTCCGATGCAACGAGACAAACAATATCCGCGCGTGCGCTAGTGATTTGGATTCCAACCGGAGACTTATGAGTTGCAAGACAGACGCCACATCCTTTCGGCCGATGGCGGACCGTGTGAGGACGCCCGCATCTGAGGTGGAATAAAGTGATGAAAAAGGCTCGACAGATTTCGTCAGGAGCACACCTCTTAAATGAGTAATATTAGTGGTTGGAGATCCGATCTGATAACGAGTAGCCGCGGAGTTAATAGTGCTTCGATATTCGGGTCTTCCATTTAACTACGGTTTTTCAATCTGAATTAACCGTACACCTCCGTTCAGAACCCCATTTCCCCGTGTTTTAGTAGCCCCTTACCTCATCTCCATCATCCCTGCACTTGGTGACAGAAAGAGTTGTGGGAACTGCACCCATTGAAATTCGGTGCATGGAACACCGTTAGATATCTGGACTGAATAGTTTAGTTCAGTGCAGTTAGACAACTATGATCCCAGCACCCAAGTGTATTGGGCTCAGTTGCCACGAGTTACAACGCCAAATTAGTAGCTGCAAGAAAATGAGGCTAAATGTAAACAGAAGCAAGGAAAATGGAACCAAGAAAGAGGTGCATTAGACGAATAAGAAGGGAACGAAAATTAACAACCAATGCAAGAAACCGAAACCAGGAACGCCACTGACTGCGTGACTGCGCCACGTCTGATACGGTCTCCAACCATTGGTGTGGACCATCCCGAGGCCCCAATCCACGAAGACCGCACGCACCATCCCGACCAAGTCTCTCAGACTATTTCTCCATGCCTCTAAGCCACCTCATTGACTGGCCACCTCGCTGTTTCGCCCAACTTGGTGCGGTCACGGCATATAATGCACGCCGAGGAAGCCAGTCTTCGGCCGTACGGAGGACATGACCTAGCAAACACAAGCGGTTAAGATACAGTAAACACTCGAGTGAGGAACCAGAAGGCTTGTTGACCAAAATTAACTGGCAGACCTAAGCATTGTTCACCCGGTGTTCCCACCAGACGCAAGCAATATTCCACAAACACCGGAGGTCAAACACAACCAAGCGTTTAATGTCTTCGCTACGAACTGGCAAGGTCACTGTGAGTTATACAGTAACACCGGCCCCATCGCAGCGTTATACACCTAGCTTTCACTGACACGCTGATATCCCGCCGTCTGCATAAACGGTTGAGTCTGGAAAGTCACACGGGTCATAGTGATACGCGAAGTAGCTTCATCAGTGGTTTGACCAACAGAAGTGATACAGCCACCATGGTAAGTGAACCGATCCACCACTTCCAATGGCTCTTCGGTGATAGATAAAACCAATGGTGAACCGATCCAGTGATGCAACAGTACTCTGCATTTTGAAGGTGCAAAGCACATGCTGAAGTGTGCCGCGCTACGCAGCAGTCGATCCAGTAGTGTTTGCATAGTCACTGAGTCAGACCCAAAGAGAGCTATCCCGTCCGTATACTCCAGGTTTGTCAGTCGGTTACTTTACAGAACTTCCACTCCGGTAGACTCTGAAAGAACTGAGTCTCTCACGATTATTTTGAGAACGAAGATGAAGAGGAAAGGAAATATAGGACAACCCTGGTGAACTAGAGTCGTAGTGAGGAACTCCGGAAGCAGCTTCCTGTAGACCTTTACACGGCTTCGAAAATTACTGGTGAGTGACTACAAAATGTAAAGGAGTCTAGCATGCACGCCATTCAAGAATAGGCAGTGCCGCCAGCTATCTCGATCAACAAAGTGGAAGGCCGCCTTCAAGTCAAGGAAAACTACCATAGTCGATCGTCTGTATGTGTCTTTGCTCTGAAACTTTGCGAAGAGTAAATATATGGTTGATGCAACCACGACCAGAGCGGAAGGCAGCATGCCTTTCAGACTCGGTTCTCCAGAGGGCCGGCAAGTTGTCGAAGGATGATATGAGTGAAAATTTTGGAGACAATGGAAACAACGCTAATGCCTGCGAGCTGTGGGCGGGGCATTTAAACCTGCCTTGCTATTGTCACTGAACCCCACTTTTGTAATATCGCAATGGTTACATGACTGTTCCCAGAATATTTCAACATGGAAATTTGTCAAGCTCTTTTCAAGATCACCGTTGTTGTTCGCGTAATCTTTGAGAAAAATTTAAGATACTGAGCAAGTGAAGATGGACGGTCTCGATTGAAAGTCTAGCTTACAACGCTGGCTTTAAATTATTTTGTCCGGAACTGCTTAATTGTTGCTCTTTTACACTGATCGTTTATTTAAGTGGCACTTCTACTCAGTGTCCTATTATCCACTCCTATTAGCCATTCCTACAAATTTATTCTTGGTAATGTAAGTTTAGCTCATTCATTGTTGATATTGCAAAGTGCTGAAAAGGTACCCATCTGGATATATAAAGCTTTATTTGACGACTTGATTTTCGCACAAAGTACGCTGATCCTTTTGGAAGATAGGCAAGACAGTTGACAGTCGGCAATCTGAAGGCACTTCTTCAGTGTCCAAAGCAAGTCCAGTCATCATAGTCACCTTCAGCTTTCAGCAAAGATGGAGGGAAGTCGTCGGCCGCCAGGAGCTTTGTTTAGTTTCAACAAGGCGAGCTCATGTCGTATCTCCTCCAAAGTGGAAGGAATGACGAACTTTCCACGTCGGCTCGAGCAATTCACCAAGGGACAGTATCGCAGTAGGCTTGTTAAACTGCTCTTTAAAATGTTCTGTCCAACGGACTAGTCAATGAGCCCAAGAATGAAGCAATCGACCAAATTTCTCAGCTATTGTCTCGCTAACTGTGTGCATACATTGACCGGTGTTCCGGATGAGCTGCAATAACACTCGGTTGTTTCCAAAAGCATCGGCATTTAGCCATCTCACTGGCCCTTACCACCCTCCAACGTCTCCTGTCAATTCGAAGACTCTTTGTCAGAAGTCGTTCCAGGGATTTACCAACACACTGAAATTCAGTACCCAATGGCGTCTGTTTCCGTACTTCGATCAGGTTGATCGTAGCCTCAGTGATCTATTCCAAGTTAGGACATGTAAATTTGGGTGTACCGGGTGATGTTTCAGGAGTACGTCGGTACGAAGTGCCAAAGCTTTGCTGCCGCGCAACCACCAACAGGTGCGCGTGGACTAAGGGGAAGGGTCGCACTGTCACCTAGGAAGGCTGGAAAGTGCGCCCTATGATTACAAGTCACGCTTGTGATCCTATATGCCACGGGCCGACAGTGTACAGCAGTCGTCAAAAGCGTTTTGTGGCACATGTTAGAAGATTCTAATCCGTGTTCGGCTCATCAATCACACTTATCACTGACAATCGGTGGGCCAGTTCGTTTTAATATCAATGAACTGCAGACTGAGAGTTCAAATCCCAGGTAAAAAGTTAGATGATTCCTTGAAACGTGAAGAGTGAGCGTCAGGCGCGAGTGACTAGAGCATGGCCGGAATCAATTATTTGCTGCAAATTGACCGACAGTCTTGGACCGAAGTGCGCCCATCTATAGCTGATAACACTATGGTCAAGTCAGATCATCAATGAATTCGGTGGGCGATGTGAACTTTTGTGTTGGAAAGCAGGGTTGCTAAGGTAAAGAATGTGATCGGCGCGCAGTGGTAGGAATCGATCAACAATGTCTGTTCGGCGCGCATCGGCCCTGAATCAGCATCCAAGGTATTGTTCTTAGTCTGAAAGACTACCCACGTGGGCATTCATATCACCAGCAACAATCACGATGTCGATATTCTTCGCCATGCGAAGAAGAGAAGAGCGATGTTGATAGATATCCTCTGAACTGCATTCAGTAGGGGCGTAAACAGTGGCGATGAAAAGGCACCTTTCAGACGCTGCATATTAACTACAATGGAGGTTCGAAATCGAACCTCAAACATGCGGCGGTTCACCAGCATCCAGTCGAGCAGATTGCCTTCAGCATGGTTGCTGAGAGCGATCCAAACAAAGTAGATTCCTTGAGCCATTAACTTAGTACGCCAGAAACGCGAAGAGTGTAGTCAATGTAGTCAGATGCGGAACCATGGAGTTGAAGATTCGTCACGACGCTGCTTTCTTGGATGCCTGTTTAGGAGACACAGCACATAACAATACGAAAAGAGTGAAGAGTGAGTTAGTACTGCCTGCTGACTGATCGGACCCAGATTATGAACGTTAAATAAAACTAATGTGGAACGAGACACTAGGGTTCCTGTACGAAGTACATGCATTGTCAAGTCACAGTGTGAACTCGAAATTCGTATCCGTAAAGATACAAAATGAACAGTCCCCAAAAGATGGTAAGCGGAAGTGATTTCACTCAATGTTATGACATAAAAGGGGCACTAAATAATACAGCCAAATATGGAGTTCAGAGACCGAATGATGTGGCTCCCGAATACACTAGGATCGACGTTCGATGCAGGGTGAATAATCTGGTTGTCCAGAACCAGATAGCATAACATATTCTTCACAAGACAGACAAATTGATCGCCAAGCATCTGAGGGAACACAAACGCAAGGTAACTAAGAGTATTATCCCTAAAAATATAGCTGTTCATTCACTTGTTATTGAAGAGCGATTCAGATGCCGATACCCCCTTCCGACGCTAAAATGATGCTGTTGAGAAGAGTTATTTTGCGAATTGTTTACTACAACAAGCCATTGCTTGTAAACTCTCAAAGGATGAGATGCCTTCGTTGACCTGTTCAATACTCGTGTATCGGTACTCGTGCTCCAGTGAAGCACGACACATGGGTCGCACCGCGATGCGCCCATCCCAGAGGATTCGCAAGCACATTCCGGCCCGGTTCAACAAAGGTGAAATGAGATTTACAAACAGCGCTGTTATGTCACACCTTGATTTTGGCCACACAGCCTCTGGGGATGACTTTAGTCATATACTCACCACATGAACGTTACACGTAAGGCTTCGCAAACGGCTGCTGTCCATTGCTGAAGCTATGTACATCCGCTATCTAAAGCCCAAAATGTGTGTAAAAGCGGTACATACGCCTGTTACTACTTACTTGGCCAACGGACTATATTACCTAACGATTTGATTGCCATCTGAGCCTCTATGCAATACTTTTGTTTCGCTTTCCTTACCTAACCCTAAGCTATCGACTGACTGTTCGAACAAGCTAGAAATGGATCTTCAGCCCGATTTGACGCTAAAAAAAACATTTAAACTCTAATATGAAAACGTTTGCTTACTGGAAAAGAATTCTCAACCCAAAACGCATTTGGTCTTGATTTGATCACGAGCTAAGACGTCAAGGAAATGTGTATGTGTGTTTGTGTGTGTGCGTCACAACTGGGGAGTCAGAGGGTGGGTCGATTCCCTAGACTAACGAATGGACTGAACAGCAGAACCATGCGTCTGCAGTTTAAACAAAACAATACAAATGGACATAAAACAAGTAAAACGACTCATGAGAACGAGACGGTAGTGTAGATTCGCGTTTAATCAGAAAATCAGTAAGAAAACGCAGTGAATGAAGAGCAGCAAAACGAAAGTTGCCAGTGCTAAACAGAAACGGGTGGTAACAGAAAATAAATTTCAATTTTGTAACCAGAAACAGAAACAGATGTTTAGCGATCAGAAATTAAATAATACCAAGCTACTCAACGAGTGTCAGTGGGACAGTTCCCTTTCGTGAATGCAGAATCCCCAGTGTGAATGGAATGGAAGTGCTGAGCACTACTCGGGCACAACGCTGCACTTCATACAATTAGTCCCTTATTGGTTTGCACCCATCAGGTAACAAACCCGTCGTGGTGCAACGATGTGGGTGGGTAGTGACTAAATTTATCTGTTTCCGATATAATCCCACACAGAATGGTGTGTCGCAATCCAGTTGCGCAGCGTCTGCATCAAATGAATGAGTTAGTAACCTTTGCGGTAAGTGCTACACGCTGCGATCCATTGGCATAAGAGTAGAGACTCCGGCTAGTAGCGCCCAGGTACGGGTCGCAGTCCTATCTGAAAAACTGCTTGTAGGGCGAGTGAGCAACATTTCACATGCATCCACTTCAAATGAGGCTCCAGCGACCGATCTGACGGACGTTCAAAGCGAATGGTGAGCCTGCTTGACATCATATGTCACAATCCAGTCGCACAGAACGAGTGCTTCAAATGAACATACAATGTGACTAAAATGCTTGAATTTCAGATGCACTATGTGCAGGAAAAAGGGAGAAAATGACGAGAAGAAAAACACTGCAAACAAATAATATTTCACATTCACCGAATGCGTCTGATTGGGCGAAGAGAAATTGGTAACAGTCCAAGCATATCTAACACAATGGAGAACGCATTAGAATGAAAAGAACGATTATGCCATCTGAAGAATATAAAGGATTAACCTATGACTTGAAGGAGTAATCAAAATTCGCTATTTAGAAGTAAAAAAAATGGCAACTGTGATATACGGGGAAGCAGTGACACTTCGCGCTGAAACAGCTAAAACAGGTAACTAATAAAAGAATGAAAATCATTCGCCTTGTGCAGTTCCTAACCAACGACGGGGAGCACTGGTGGCATCTGTCTCGTGAACAGCTGAGCACTGAAACGATAAACAGCTACGTCATCATCATCATCAGTACACGTTAGCTGTGGGTGAGAAACATCTCAGCTAATGTGCCGCAATATAAAAATATAAAAAATAAAACAATACAGGCTAAAAAAGCTACATAAAAGGTAACATAATGCTGAATATCACATGTTGCATAGGGTTGATGGTTTTTGGAAGTGGAAGCTAAAGGAGAGAGGAAAGACAAAGTGACGCACAACGCAAACGCCACTGATATCGGCTCCTCGCCATGTCAGTATTTCCAACCAAAAGTGTACACGGTCTAACGGATCCCAGCCGAGGCTTCAACCGAGGCTAACTTCAAAGTGAGGGACTACATTCTTCTTCGCTAAGGCATCGCTTGGCCTCCCCTCCTACTCTTCCATCCATACCCCCGCCGCGCACAAAATGCACGATGCGGGAGTCGGTGTGCTGGCATGCGCAACACGTGGTCTAGCCATAGGAGCCTGGTGCGTAAGATAATGATGAGGAGCGGCTCACTCGCACGGTTCCTGCACCAAATACGCAACGACGAAAACGCCTACTGCTCACGCGAGGTTCCCAGTAGACATGAGCCACGGGACACTTGCGACCCTGTGGGAACTAAGAGTAGCTCGTGTTGCATCACTCACAACTACACACATAAGTTGCACTATCCAATGTAAACCAATAGGTCTGCAATCGGGTGGTACACTGGTAGGAAACACGGTCATTTCGGAGTCAGTTGATGTTGTCGGATCCTGATGAAGCCGATAGGTGCGCACTATTGATGAGTCACGATAAGAGGAAAGGGTCGAATAGTGTTTTCCCAGGCACGTAGAGGATTATTGGGTTTAGAAGTTGCTGCGAAGGATCCTCAATTCTTTACTACCAAATAGAGTTAAGTGAACTTATCGTGGCGAATTTAATATAGCCATTCAAATCGCTCTGCTACTCCGCTGTAAATAAGGAAAATTCCAACTAGTGGCGTTTTTATATGCACCAAATCACCGATATCACACAGCAAATGGATGTGATACACAGTCAGCACATGAGAGTCCTCAAGGCTCCGCATGAGAAAGCATGACCACAAAACGCAATGAAACTGTACGGAAAATCCATTCCATTTACAGCAGTAGCACATCAGATAAAGTCAAATTACAGAACCCGATTAAGTTTATTCCCACAATGACATGATTTCCTAACTGCTGGTCTCACACCATGGCTGGTGATTGAGCAGTTATCAAAAAATGATGGCCAAGGACTGGACAGTGAAATAAGAATAGACATCTAATAAGGTTCGGTTGAGTGCAATGATGACCACATTGTAGAAACAAAGTCACGTGACTACAAAAGTATATATCCACAACCGGGTTATGGACAATGTGTCATCAGGACCATGATAGAAAAAACAAAAATAAAATTGCAAAAAAAGTTTTCTGGGTCGTGCACAATCCGTTTTTGGTAGTTCGTGTTCCTTTAGAGATTCACTAATAGATGATGGAACCGCAATGACGCAACGGAGGTCTGCTGCGGGTCATAACATGCAGAGTTTCCAAGCACTGGGAGTCAAAATCACTTGGCTCCTAAAAACGCGCGACGGAAAAGGCGATAGGCTGGAATGCACAATACGTGATAGAGCCAGTGCGCGCCGTGTCGGAGAAAAAGGTTTCGGAGGCAGGGGATGTTCATTCTAAATAGCCGGTTTTGGACTTCTATGTTGTTTACCTGATGTTGCCACTACACACGAGCAGACATCAGATGTCAAAAATACAATGCTTTCATCTCTTGAGCGAAAAATAAACCAGGTCTTAAACGTACAACCGGACCATACGGACGGAGGCACTGTACACCCTGCATTTGAGCTTCAGACTGACATCATGAAGATGCCATGTCACAGTTTAATGAACGCAAGACGGACCTTTGCGATCGGTTAGGAGACATTCCCAACACTGCCGTCGTGCTCACAAAGACAGAATCCAATGAAAAGCAAGTCTAAGATCAAAAAGGAATAAGTGACTCAGAATCGCTGTGAACTCAATGCCAAGGTGATAGCTGTTTTGCTGATTCATTTAACTGACACGCTCAGAGATACGTTAAAAGACGTATGATTTGATATTTCTGCCGGTTCACACATAGTCTGGAAGACAGAGCGATGACAGTAGTAGAAAAACCGATGGAATGGAGACGACCTATTACACATGCAAGCAGTGTAGAGTGGTCTAAACATCGCCTTCATAGTGGGGATAATATGCTACAAACAAGCAGCTGGCAAGTGAGTAATCAAGCAAATATTGAGCGCAAAAGATCAAGTTTAAACGGAAGAACTCACCGGACCGGAGTGAAGTCGTGAGTTCTAAGTTCTTTAATCCAAGGAGCCAAAGGAGAGTTGGGACCCTGGGTTAAACGAGAGCCATAACCATGTAAGTATGTGATAAGATCTGCTCGAAAGTTTGAGTCTGAGTCCGGGGCTGCCACGTCTTCAATGCGACGCAGCTTCGGACTTACCCACAATCTGAAATGAAAACGGATAGCTAATTGACAGGCACCGAGGCACCGGCATAGGTGAAGAGAAATGCGAGACCGGTCGATAGTCATGATAGTCTTCCGGGAGGCGTGCAACTGAAACAACCAATGTCTTAATCCAAATACAGCGTGTAGGGATGTGGTCAAGTCAAGTCAATACTTTGCTTTATGCGCCCATGAATGGTGAATCATCAACTCTAATATGCGTCCAATCAATGTGAAATAACTAGAAAGCGGAATCGTCCGCAAACTCACCCTTGAGTTCGCAGATTCCAGTCTTCGGCGATCAGGTTCGCAGTGTGTATTACAATGCGTAGGCCATCTCGATATTTCAGAAACATCATCTTCCTGTGATAAAAGCAACATAAGCTTTGCATTGCGGAGAAAATGGAAGGGAAATAAAATTCATTCGAATGGTCCCTTTGAGGAGAACTTGCAAAGTTGCGTGCTAGTATGAGGAAACGATCCATACACAACGCCGAAAACGTGAACATCATACTACATGATAAGCCAGATGCATAAAATGGATTGCCTATGTGAATCACGACTGCCAATTTGGCTGTTCTCATCAGCCATTTCGAACAAATTAGTGCGCAAACACAGAATGTTTGGAATGAGGGGCGCTGAATTTGTGCGGAAGGTCAAATATTCAACGCTTTATGGTCGTTAACGTAAGATATGGACGTGCGTATACTGAACATATGGGAATGAAGAACAAAGAGAGGACGACGTTGTCGTAGGTTACATTGGACGGATTCAAACTGTTCTCCAAGCATTCACTAAACATTGTACATTGTGGTTTTCAGGAGGAATCGAATTATGGTCTAAACTTTAGTGGTGTAAGTGAAGTGGGAGCACGGCCGTTGAAAACCAGAAATCAATCCCTAATATTAAGTGCACAGAAAGCAGTCGCCGACAGACAATTCAGGCAAACAAGTGGACCTGTTTGCGAGTAGAACCCACATGTGGATGATAAAAAGACACGTAGTCTGAACAAAATGTTCATACCCCACCTAAAATACAAGTTTTCACTATACCATACCAAACTCCGAATCAATCTGCTGAAAGAAGGATACCAGAACGGAACGCGCATGCATCCGCTCCATAGTGAGAAAACTAACTAATACGCTGGTTCCTTGCTGGACAGCGGTTCGAAGCTCATAGTAACGCGTAAATGTGTAAAAGGGCGCCGTGGATTGCACAACTTGTTATATGGTAAAATGAAACAAGGTCCTCCCATCGCATTTGTAGTGAGAGACCTGGAGTAAGTACCACCTCATTAACAGCCACTGTGCATTCTGAAAGGCATCAGATGACCGTTTCGCCATTTGGGGACTCGTTACCAATGCCTATTGCATCTGGTCGCTGACCAGTTACTTTCGAGTCGAAGATTGGTTCCAGTTTCCTCCCGATAGCTCAAGTAGATGAAGTCTATTCGCAAGTTAGGTGGACGTCATGGTAAGAAGCGGAATCAACGCGTTCACAACAAGAAGCTCTAGGAGGACAAGATGGTGTGCAGGTCCTGTAAAGATGGAATCTAACGGAAAACGTGAAACTGGTAATCCGGTAGATGAAGGTGCCCTATAGGAGTAATGTGTCAAGAAGATGAAAGTGATGACGGTCAAGAATGGGTTCACGTGCAATGGACGAGATGAGGTGACTCGAGCGACTTGGGAACCTAAGGAGAACCAGTCGGAATGAAATGAATTGGGTAAAGTGAGAAGTCTGGCATCCGATTGAACGCGAGTCGAACGAAAGGTCACTGGACACAACAGGCAGACTATGCGGCTGCGTCGATTAGTTGACCATGTTTGGATACGTGAGATGACTGGAATCCATTACCTAAATAGAATTGAGTAAAGTTGTTGGTTTCAGGGAACAACAGATGAGTTATTATTGTTTTTGTTGTTGCTGCTGGATGCGGTTCAGTAAGCTATAAGTAGTGTAAAAGCGAATAATCCGTTTACTTTGGCGAGTTATCTTTGCTAGATAAGTCGTTTATACCAGAAAAACTGGGAAGGACAAGTGTAAGAATACAATGAACCTATCCATCTAGCAACAATGAGCGAGTACCACTCAAAAACGCCGATAGCAGAAGATGGGGAGTGTGGCAATCTCAGAGAAGAGATATTGTGTGAGTTAGGTTACAAGGTATGTCCTGAGTTGGACTAAAAACAGTGGATTTCCTCTGTGAGTACATCTAGTATTTGTGGGCTGGTCAGCGGTGCATGTTCCTAGGCGTAATTGTTTTGAGGTGAGCTGCCGGCCTAAACAGGGATCCGTAAAGCGAAGCTAAGTGCGCAGCACGTATGGAAAAAGACGGTGAACGGTGTCATTTCAGAAACGACACAGGGAGTCTCCTTTAACCATTTCCTTGGACAGAAAACATAAGTTGTGATATGTCAACACTACGATTGCACTCAGCAGTCAAAGAAAAATAATACAAGCAAAACGTATACACAGTTAAATGAAAAGAACAAAAGGATTAATCAGAATATCATAACCAAGATCAAGGCAACTTAGTAGACTGCCTCTAGCAGATATATCCCTCGGCTTAACATCAATGTGTCGGCCGGTGGCCGAGTGGTCGGCACGTTTGCTTTCCAACCATAAGGTCACCGGTTCGAATCCGCGTAGGGGTGGGCGTCCTCGCGGTATACTCAGCCCGCGCGCGACTAGTGGTGGTCGCGCGGCAGCGAAGCGCCGTTACGGCGTATAAGCTGACACCTTAACATCAATGTAAGCTTCCGCCAACAGTAATGAAGCGAAGTTTCATAGGCAATATGCAGAGAATATGGCCCCTGTTTGGCAACCGACCGAACGAAAGGCGTATGAACTAACTGGTCGGTCACCGGGTGCTTCTGTGCTTGCAGGTAGACTATTCAGCCAGACTCGCGGTAATGTCCCCTAAGACAAGGATTAGTATCTCGCCTTCTGACAATACCATGGATTCCACAAATACTACCACGCCGCGCTCTTCTGTTCCTGTTCTCTTTACTCCTAACGCATATCCATCACACACCAAACCTACGCTTGATAATAATTTTGGTCCTTTCGAATCCAATTCCGATGCTTAGGGAGATCCTTTACAAAAAACTTGTGGGTTGCACATCTACCCTAGCTCACAAAGACATAACCCGCAACATGTAGAGGCATGGTTGCTTCGAATATTTAAGTTAAATATATGTCTACAAAATTGTTCAGTGAGTGAAGCATACAGATTTTTACAAACCGGAATTAAAAGAACCATCAGTGTCGCACGCGACATGGAAGAAACGTCTTTACGCTTAAATATCTACTCCAGTGGAATAGATTACCTCAAGTTATCAGGAGAGTTCAGATTCTAGTTGGGCATAGAAAAAGTGAAAAACTATCCAATTCTAAAAAACATTAGATAATTGTTGTCCCTCGATTGCACAGACGAATATGTGTATATGAATGCGAATCTAATAATAGCTAATCACTCACCTTCTGCCCAAATCCTTCACCTGTCTTGCTGTATTGTTCAACCCTCCAACTACACTTCATACCCTTTTAGCTCTTCGAAAATTTCTCATTCATATTGAAAAAGGCAGCGGAGTCGCTCCTTTCGAAATCGTCAAATTGCTTCATCGTTGGAACATACATTATTTCCTCCGGTGTGACGAAAACGGGAATGTAGTTTCCTCGTTTTTCTTGTTATACACATGCCAGAATTACGTACTCTGCTATTTATGGCATCTGCATTTGGCGCTACGTCGGTGCCATGTGATTTATGCCGCATCACACAATAAGCCTGTAGCCACCAACGGAACACCACCAAGGGATCATGTCTAGTGCTATTCCGAACTGTATAATTGTTTTAGTATTTTCCACTTTAGTTAACAATTCTGTTATTGTTGGCCATGAATTGACCTAAGGTGACACAGTGAAGCTCCTAAAATGGTCAGTGTACCCAAACAAGATGAATTGACTACAAAGCAATCCGTGTCAAAAAAAAACACTATACTCAGAAGAATCAAATGGGCAGAATAGTAGCACAGCCCACCATAATTGCATATAAAATGTCCCGGAAAATGATTGAAGCGGTGATGACCTATCTGAATTTATTTCACACCGGAACGTGGTCAGATTGGACTGAAGTGTTTATGCTAAAGGAATGTGAAAATGGCCTGAGAGATGAATGAAAGCGGTGATGGCGTGCATACATTTAAATCACACCGTTACTACGCCTGATGGGCATGGAAGTGCGGGTGAAACTATCAAGGCGACTGCCCCGCATAGAAACAGGTCGCTAGGAGATAGTTTGACGAATAGCCGTATTAATTTAACTGGGCCTTTGTATGTTTATTTTTCTCTTTAAAATCTGTTGTAACCCTTGCAGTATCTTAATGTGTATTTTCCCTTCGGTGATAGTGATTGTGTAACATGATTGCGAAATCCTGAGCATGCTTAAAAGGGCATATATCGTAAAACCGATAGTATACATTATGTAGTCATCTGTCGTTTCGGGGAGAGAACCCTAGTGTATGGGACAAGCATACGTACGTCATTGTTTGTCCACGACTGAACGTTGTTTGCACACTGCGAAGAGGAGCTGCAGCGGAAGACGACGGGTCTCCCTTCAACAGCGGTCAAGTTCGGACTCACCATCAACACAAGCAATACTGTTTGCCCTTTTCAGCCTTCACCTGGAATGGAATCCATGTGCTTGCCGCAAATTTAGATTGGTAATTACGTACTGGACAACAGCGAGATTGTGCTATCTTGAGAGCGCGCTTTCGACCGAGTTAAAGAGAACGAGCGAACCACGCATCAGCGTACCCAAGGCGACCGCTCCATTTGGCAAGCTGGAAAAACGGATGTGGAACAACCACCAGCCGTCGGTGTACCCGTCGATGATGCTATCCATTCTTCTTTAGGGAGGGAAATCTGGACGCTGTATCCGAAGGACATTCGATATCTGGGGTGTTTTCAGAAACATATGGGAAACCGCACCAGGCCTCCCAAAAAGAAAACTGGAGCTAACAGCAGAGAAAAACGATATTTATATGTTCTTGTCACTCAAGGGAACCACATCACAAATAAAATCCGGTGCAAGCTCAGGTCCGCCGTAACAGCCGCCTACACGACCGCCTAGTTGTCACCCATGTATACTGTGGTGGATTAAAGACAGACATTACTGCGCCAGTTATCAGTAGTGCGGAGGTGCCAGAATACGAAACGATAATCAGACAACGGCAGGCCGCAATGACTCCCCCAAAGGAAAGGAACACTTTAGAACCGCAGTTGCGTGTGCAAGAGGAATGAACGCATAAGAAAAGCAAACTACAGAATAGGTAGACAAAGAAAGAAACCAACGCCATGCAACTTCCAACAAGAAATGCGAAGATGAGTGGATGTTAAATTTGTTGAAATTGGTGCACCTAGTATGGTTGAGACAATAAACAAGTCCGGTTGCACCACAAGTTCTTATCTATACGAGAGGGCTTGTTCTACATAACCGTCACAGCACCTCATTTCCCAGCTCGATCCTTCCCGTGGTTTATCAGTTCACCAGAGGTGCGGTGACATTCACATACCCAGTGACGGTCGGGATGCTCAGAGAACAACTGAAGCTTTGCGAAGGTGGTTGGGACAAATAATAATGCAACAAGACAGAGCGAACCCAAAGAAAAACCAGAGCGCCCCATCACCTATCAACAAGCATGTGGCAATTCGTGACCGTGTGAATCCTGCGACCGCCGTTAAGAATTGCCCAATAAAACCCAATAATATTGCTAATTGGTGAGGTGTTGCTAATCAGGCTCCCCTAAACTGTGTTGTGAGCGAAAACTCTTGACGAAATTAATCAGATTGCTTTGCCCTTGATTGTGACAGTTTGAGCGGTGTTCCGTGTATATAAAAGTGCATGTTCTGCTCATTTTGTGTGCGATTGATATGAGCGATCGAAATGTTGACATATCGCAATGTATAGCTTCACTCCGTTTTGACTAAATGAACGGTATCTGGCCAACGAGGCTTGGCTTGCAGTCAGCGGAAAACGAAGGGAAAGCAAAATCAATCTCAGTGATCACCGGATGAGGTGCAATGGAAATGACAGGTCACTTCCTGACGAGCAATCTTCAATCGTAGCCTAATGCACATGCTACCTCAGATTTACACAACAAAGTGTAATCACAATCCCTGTTTGTTAGTCATTCCAGATACAAGGTCGCTCTAGTTCCGTGTTTGATTTGGATTAAATTTTCGTTTCGGACGAAAGTAAACTGCGCTCATTGTGCGCTCCAGACAAATTAAGAACAAGTTGACTGACCTTATCTACCCATTCAGGAGAGCGATACGCTCATAATCAGATAAGTATGGAAGTGAGGGGAGATGTCGTACACGCTGTGATCTGCCGCCACGGTTGAATCTCATCAGCGTGCATAATCGGTGGTAGGTCAACCAATGTTCCCACGGTACACAAGGTTTGCATGTGATCAGGTTGAACACTGATAAGGTGCCTATAACTTTTCTCAATTGCATCCTCCTTAAGGGAATCACGTTCTTTCATAGATCACTCAAGATGGTCTTTAGCGCAAGCAGATTGCATTCACCAGGTTCAAACACTCCTACAACATGCGTACTGTTCGTTGAGCGACAAATTTTAAATCAGTCGATAGTATCACAGCCGAGTACACAGAGAGGGATGCTATTGGCTGATTTGGGATTGGTCATTCAATGAAAGTAGCATTTGGGGGCGTTCGCGTCCGCTCTATGCAATTTGATGGCGTTTAGGACCATCTTGAGAGATCTGTGGAGGAATATGATTTCCTTAAGGAGGATGTACTTGACTGGGAAAACGTATAGTCTCTGACGCCATCGCCTCGATTATCTCTGGTCAACGCTGCTGACAATGGAGTGTAAAGGCTTTATGCTAGATCGGAAGAATGGCCCCAAAACGAACGGTCCAAAGCCATGTAACCACCTGTTATGTAAGCTGGATATCCAGGCGATGAAGCCCAATGTTGTGAACGCTGGTTCGTCTTTACCTCTGCCCACTGCAACACCCAGCCGCGTCAAGGAAAGGAACTCACACCCGCTCTGCTCATTAGCCTTCTATTTACAGGCATCTGGTAATTTACAACTAGCTGGGTTATTAGAAACTCATTGGCCTACTCGATCGATCACCTGATCGATCGCACTAAAGTAAACACTTCCCAAATTCAGCTCCGCTTACGTCACTACTACCACCCTCTTCAAAATGATTACTCCTACCTATTTACCGCATCAGGGTTTGATCGTAGCTTTTTATCCTGTGGTTCAATTGTAGCCATCGCGGTTGCCTTCGTCATAGACTTGGCCCGAGCGACCGGCTGTGTTCCGCTTTGGAGATCAACCTGTAGCCATGCTGGTCGTCTCCGCTTTCGGTTTAGTTTGTACTGTTCGTTATTTGGTGCTTGCATCTTATGTTGTGATCCACGTAACCGCTCAGCTTTGTCTTCCGAACAAAAGGTGTCTAGCAGGATGTCCCATGGTAGGGATGGCGGTTCTAGGGGATTTTGAGTTTTACCGTGATTCGGCCCCAGATGATTGGTGTGCCTGACCCATTTCTACTTTCCTACCATTAGCTCGTAGATCGCCCAACTGTTTCTGGGGATCACTCTTCTTGTCGACCACCTCCTCGGTCCTCGGAAATCTCGTGTGTACATCATATTCCCAATTTTGAATTGACGCACTCTGTCTGTCCACTTTTCCCCCGCATGATAACTGCAATGCTTGTCTATCCTGCTTGGCACAAGATGCTTTGCTCTGGATACTGGTTCAGTGATTGACTTAAGGTTCAGGACAGCATTGGTGATTCTGCAACATTCTGAAGCAGGTTGGAGTATTGCTCCGTGGCGTCTATTCATCTGCGTAATCTGACTGCCATTGATTTCTACCGTCGCATCCTCAGGTCTGGTGGGCACATCGGATTTAGTAGTGGCAGTGTGGCATAAGCGTTGCTTTTCCCTGGATTCCGAATTTACAAGCACATTTTTACCAGGATTCAAACTGAGCAGCCTCTGGCATTCTGAAGCAATTTCCTACGATGTCAGTTGCGGTTGCGGTTCCCATACTACTTGAATGTTTAATTGTTGTGATAATAATTGGATCAACCGCCTGTGACTTTTCGAGCTGCGTCTGCTACTGCTGTAAAAGTGCCTGCAATTGTTCGAAGTTGATTGTCATTTTTGGGTTCGACTGAAAACTTCGTCGCCAATGTTGTAACGCTGTTTCTTTTCCCCTTTTCAAATGGAGTATGCTAGCGCACAGTTCAAACACGACTTGATTCATAGGTTTTCGCCTGCAGGACAACGCAACTTCTTGTACCCTCGCTTACCACAGCAATTGCAAATGTGATTCTGGAACGGACAGTTTCGAGCAAAGTGCCATTCCTTGTAAAGTTAACAAGCAGAAGGGGGTTTAGAATGTGCTAAGTCACATGAATCGATTCTTTCTGAGGACTTCGACGGACCCTGCAAATGATATCCTGGCTACTCGGGATGAATGACCGTTGGATCGTAGAAGCAGCATACTTCAAGTTCATCAACCTTTGGCATTCGTTCGTCACTTCATGCAGTGTGACCTCAGGATTTTGTCCAATTCTGCTCAGTACTGTTGTCCGGACATTAGCATCTTTGGTCGCTTGAAGCCAGGAAAAATAAATAAGGCACTTGTACTGATCACCTGTCATTTTGTGAAACAGTGACCGTTCACACTCATGATTCACGCGACTCGAGTTAGTAACCCAGTCTTCATCGTCTCGCTTGGTCATTGTCAGGAAACTGTATCGGATATTGAATAGTGACGAGTGCTCTCCAAATAACTGCGACAAAGTAACAAACGCGTCATCAGATGTTAAATCAGTGCTCTTCTTCGGTAAGGTGAAACATGAACTTTTTATGCTCGGCCGCACCCATTTTCCGCAGCATGACGTGAACTCTCTTGTCCTCTGAGACACCAGCTAAATCAACGCGAAACAAGTCTTCGTATTTATGGAACCACGATTGATAAGTAATACCAGCATCCGCATCGTAACGGAACTCACAAACTTGCTGGGTCAATGTTTCTGTTGTGGGGACACTTTCACTTGCTCCTGTTACAGAGCCTGCTTGTAGTCACAAATTCTTGGTCATCGTTTCGATCAGTTTGGTCCGTGCTTTCTCAAACCGCGCTTGCTGTTGCTGCAAAAGAGCCTGTAGTTGTTGAAAATAGATTGAGATCTTTGGGTTCTTTTGATTCCGCTTACCTCTATATTACCAGAGTCCGTAAATGAGTGCCCGGGTTGCTGTGTGTGACCAATAAGACGTGATGGAAAGTTACCGTAAAAGTAATCTAATGTGAGCAATGAGTGAAATACGTCGTTCACTATCGGACAAGAGAGTAGACATGCGAGCACTGCGGATCACATTTATTATAGAACATGCCACCTCGTATGGTAGAACGACCTACTGCAATAAATACCCAATTGTCAAGGCATCAACAATATCGGAAACAAAAATGACAGGGGAAGAGTGTGCGAATTGCCGTGGCTAGAGAAAATGGGGCCAAATACTACATGCTGACAAAAGAGAAGCACTGAAGGAAGAAAACCAACGGAGACGAAATTCAATAGCAAGCTGCATGGAATATCCTTGTTGGCATGACGCACCCGTGCTTAGGTTGTGAGAAGTGGTGAATTAGTGCGGCTCAGGACAGCTCACTATTTGTGATGGACAAATGTGGAACTGTTATCAAGCTGATTGAACCAGTGAAACATTCAGGGGCGAAAAACGGTATTTCTACAGGGAAACACTATAGTAGGCTTATGTGGTAGTTTAAGCACATAGGTACTTGGAATATAAGACAAAAATTGCAAAAGCTTACGTGTGATGTGTCCCATACGGGAGCCGAATATGTACCTAAGATGGAACAGAGTAGACAGAGTAGAAGTGTAAACATTAAAATTTATGATATGACAACTCAATACAAACATTTTGT